TCATTATTGATATCATCAGAACTTAAAACATAATTAACCTTTTGAATTTTTATTATGTAATAAGCTCCTTTATTTTTTAGGGGTCGAAAAGCCCTCGGTTTTTGTTGAACGACAAAAAAGGTCTAGTTATTATTGTTTTTTTTCTTACCGATTTTGTGCACGTGATTTCTCACAAACGGCTGGATGAATTTCCATGTAACTTTCAGGACTGATGAAGCATTACTTGAACTTGATTCGTTTTTTTCCGTTTTGATGACGTCACTTCCAGTTCGGAGTTTTCTGTGATTTAGTGATTTCTAGAGGGTCACTTTGTCCAGCAGTTTTCTCAAAAAGCTCTTAACACAGAAGCATGAAATTTTCAATGATCTTTGGAGAGGTGTATTTGATATATCATAACCGGAAGTACGAACCTCCGACGCTCGCTATGGCCCGAAAATAGTCGTATCGACAATTTCAAAAATTTTAACACCTTTTTAACGATATCTTTTTACCTAGAAATATTTTGTGAAAACATATAAAACAAAAGAAGTGTAGAATTTCAAGGTCTTTCAAATGATACCTCAAAAAAAGGGCTGGCCCCTAAAATCAAGGGCCAAGAGGGACCAAAAGTTTTTCCATTATATCTTAAAAAGTATTCAGAATTTGTAATACATCAAAGAAGCAAGGTTGTTTAAAATGTCAAGCTCCATCTATTGGAGTCATAAAAATACGTCCGGCGACATCACTTCCGGCCAAAGAAGTCGGAAAACGGGTATTTTTGCCATTCTTGACAAGTTTTTAGGTAACATCTGTCACCAGGAGCACAAAAATTAATTTTCCGTCTGTCGTCGTCACTTCCGGTCAAACCGCAAGTAGCAACAACTTGCTTATTTTTGCATTAATTAACATAGATTTAGAAGATTTATACCATTTTTAGAAGATTTATACCATTTTTGGACGTTATTACCCTTTTTTGTAAAAAAAAAAAAAAGTGAAAGTTACTTCCAGTCAAACAGGACTACTTGTTGCTTTGCAACGAGGTTTGCTCTAGTTAAGGTCTTCCGTCTTCAGCGGAAGACCTTTCTGTTATTCTTACGTTTCTTTTTCACTTTTATTATTGTTTTTTTTTCTTACCGATTTCGTGCACACGATTTCTTGAAAACGGCTTGATGAATTTTCATGAAACTTTCAGGACTTTCAGGACTTATGTATCATTACTTGAACCTTATGCGTTTTTTTCTTTTTTGATGACGTCACTTCCGGTCTGAGATATTGCCAATTTTATGAATTTTAAAGGGTCAGGTTGTCCAGAGTTTTTCTGAAAAATGGGTTGAGATAGAAACATGAAACTTTCAGGTATGATAGACCTATGTCTGTAGATATGCCTTTCGCATTTTGCCTTTTCCTGAAACACTGCACGTTGGCGCTCGCTTTGGTCTGAAAAAAGTTCTATCGGGGATTTAGAAATTTTTCACACCTTTTGTGCAATATCTTTTTACATGTTAATATTTTGTAAAGACATATAGAACAAAAGTTGTGAAGAATGTAACGATCTTTCAATGGATATCAACGATAAGGGGCTGGTCCCTATAATTAAGGGCCAAGATGGTCCGAAAGTTTTTCCATTATATCTCAAAAAGTATTGAGAACTTCTAATACGTCAAAGAAGCAAAGTTGTTCAAAATATCAAGTTTAATCTATTGGGGTCGTCAAAATATGTCCGGTGACACCACTTCCGGTCAAACTGGAAGTAGTTAGAAAATGCATATATTTGCCATTCTTGACATGTTTTGGGGTAACATGTCACTGGAAGCATAAAACTTAATTTTCCATCCGTCGACGTCACTTCCGGTCAAACCAGAAGTAGCAAAAAATGGCTTAATTTTGCAATAATTAACATAGATTTGGAGGATTTAAACCATTTTTGGATGTCATTAGTCATTTTTTTTGAAAAATTAAAGTTACCTCAGGTCAAACAGGATGGAAGACCTACTCGTTGCTTTGCAACGAGCTTTGCTCTAGTTATTGTTATTATTGTATTTTTTCTTACCGATTTTGTGCATGCAATTTCTCGAAAATGGCTTGTTCGATTTTCATGAAACTTTCAGGACTGATAAAACATCAAACAAACCTGATACCGGTATATAATTTTTTGTTTTAATGACATCACTTCCGGTTTTGAGATATCCACGATTTTGTGATTTTCAGAGGGTCCCATTGTCCGTCATTTTTCTCAAAAGTGCTTTTAGACAGAAACATAAGATTTTCAATGATGATAGAGCAACGTGTACTGATGTGACATACACCTCTCTTTTTGTCCAGAAGTGCAGCACGTCGGCGCTCGCTATGGCTCGAAAAACGTCCTATCGGGTACTTAGAAATTGTTCACACCTTTTCTGCAATATCTTTTTATGTTTTAATATTTTGTTAAGACATATAGAACAAAAGTTGTAGAGAATGTCACAATCTTTCGAAAGATATCAACGATAAGGGGCTGGCCAAAAATAAAGGGCCAAAAAGGGCCGAAATTTTTTTTTTCCTTTATATCTCAAAAAGTATTGAGAATTTGTAATATATCAAAGAAGCAAAGTTGTTCAAAATGTCAAGCTTTATCTAATAGGGTCGTCAAAATACGTCTGGCGACGTCACTTTCGGTCAAACCGGAAGTAGTCAATAATTGCGTAATTTTGCCGTTCTTGACATGTTTAGGGGTAACATATGTCACTGGAAGCTTAACTCTTAATTTTCCGTCCGTTGACGTCAATTCCGGTCAAACCGGAAATAGCCAAAAATGGCTTAATATTGCAATAATTAACATAGATTTGGAGGATTAATCCAGTTTGGGACTTCATTACTCATTTTTTTAAAATGAAAGTTACTTCCGGTCAAACAGAATGCAGTCTGTAGATATGCCTTTTTCATTTCCTTTTTTTTTAAGAAATGCCACACATCGTATGTCAATATGGTCCAAAAAAAGACCTATCGTGAATTTTAACATATTTTCAACAGTATCCTTTTACCCGTAAATATTTTGTTAAAACATATAGAAAAAAAGTTGTGTAGAATACTGTAAACCAACTTTTATTTGCGACGACTTTACTTCGTGATTAACCAGGGGTAAACTAGTTGGCAGCATTTAATTTCACGATCGGGCCTTTTCTATCTGTTGTAAATACACAGAGAGACTTTCAGTACTGGTTTGCGGCAAAAAATTTGCGCTGACAAGGATGTCATGAAAACTTCTCACAAGCAAATAAAAGTTGGTGCACAGTATCGCAATCTTTCAAACAATATCAACAATCAAGGGCAAGTGGCCCCTAAAATAAGGGAGCTAGAGGGCCCTTAAGTTTTTCCCTTATATCTTTAAAAGTATTGAGAATTTATGATACATCAAAGAAGCAAAGTTATTCAAAATGTCAAATAGCATCTAGGGAGATAGTCAAAATACATCTGATGACATTACATCAGGCAAACATGAAGTGGTCCAAAATTGCTTATTTTCACATATTTTGACATTGAATTGAATTACACGTCACAGAGGACGTCTGGCCATATTTTTAGTTGTCTTTCTTCAATTTCAACAACTTCCAGTTTTCCTGGAAGTAACCAAAAATATATTATTTCTGCTAACATTAACGTAAAATGATTCACTTCACAGTAGACTTCCGACCCAATTTTCTGCTGTTTATTAATAGGATAACTTCCAGTTTAACTGGAAGTTGTCTTAAATGCTATTCATGAAAATCACGTTAAATCTTAAATCCCTTCAGTTATGAATACAGATTGATATTATTTTTCTTTTGAGGTTTTCTTTTTAACAAATGCATTATTCTTATTAACTCATCTTACAAGCAGTGCTTCTGAAAATAGGACAGAACACCTATTCGTTGCTGTGCAATGAGCTTTGCTCTAGTTAAGGTCTTCCATCTTCAGCGGAAGACCTTACTGTTATTCTTAGGTTTTTTTCCCAAAGTTTTTATTATTTTTTCTTACATATTTTGTGCACGCGAGTTCTTGTAAACGGCTTGATGGATTTTCATGAAACTTTCAGGTCTGATAGAACATCAAGAAATCTAGATAAAAATATTTTTATTTTGATGACGTCACTTCCGGTTCGGAGATTTCCGCGATTTTGTCTTTTTTAGAGGGGCACTTTGTCCGGCAATGTTTTCAAAAATCATTGAGGATAGAAGTGTAAAATTTTCAGTGATGCTAGAGCAACCTTTGGAGAAGTGTATTTGGTATAAAACAACCACCAGAAGTAGGAAGCGCCGACGCTCGCTATGGCCTGAAAATAGTCCTATCACGAATTTCAAAATTTCTAACACCTTTTCTATGATAACTTCTTATCTCGAAATATTTTGTTAAAACATATAAAACAAAAGAAGTGTAGAATTACATGATCTTTCAAATGATATCTCGAAAAAAGGGCTGGCCCCTAAAATTAGGGATATAAAGGGGCCAGAAGTTTTTTCCTGATATCTTTAAAAGTATTGAAAATTTGTAGTACATTAAAGAGGCAAAGTTGTTCAAAATGTCAAGCTTGATCTATTGGAGTCATCAAAGAACGTCCGGTGACGTCACTACCAGTCAAATCTGAAGTACTCAGAAAATTGGTATTTTTGCCGTTCTTGACACGTTTTGGGTAGCATCTGTCACTGGAAGCATAAAACTTGATTTCCGTCCATCTTCATCACTTCTGGTCAAACCAGAAGTAGCAAAAATTGCTTATTTTTGCATTAATTAACATAAATTTGGAGGATTTAAACCATTTTTGGACGTCATTACTCATTTTTTGGAAAAATTAAAGTTACTTCCGGTCAAACAGGACGGAAGACCTACTTGTTGCTTTGCAACGAACTTTGCTCTAGTTTAAATTATTATTTGTACACTTTTGTTTGATCAGAGACATCAAGATTAACAAAGCACCACTGTAATATGATGGACAAACTAGGATCACAGATTTTTTTCAGCCTTTGCCTCAAAATAGATGAGCAAAAGCGATTTATGAAGCAACTAACCTATTATAGTCCATCACTGTGTTTAATCTATGGGCAATGGTAAGAATTGTACAGTCTGCGAATTCTTGTCGAATTGTCTGTTGAATCAGATCATCTGTTTCCAAATCAACAGCTGCTGTTGCCTCATCAAGGAGAAGAATTTTGGATTTTCTTAAAAGTGCTCTAGCCAAACAAACAAGTTGTCTTTGTCCAACACTATAAACATAACCAGAAGACTTTATCATTACTAGCTGCAGAACAGTTCGCAGTACAGTTAAGGCTACACATAAAAATAATATGGTAATGAAGTCATAATGAGGTTTGATGTCATGACAAATGCTCCGTCCTGATTCCTATTTTTCCATCCTGATTGCAGACAAAGCTGTTTTTTGCAGTGAAATGTGTTATGCTGCTTCTGAAATATCTATTAAATTATTTCTTATGAATTCTATCAACAAAGTGTGACAAATATAGTAAATATATTCTGAAAATCCAGGAAAAAATTGAGCCAATTTTAACGTAAAATTGACACTTTTTTTTAGTAATATCTAAAAAATTACATCATATACCCCCCACTTTTGATGTTTTTTTCTATATGTTCAAGATAAATTTGACCTATTTGCTTAAAATCAGAAAAAGTTTAAGACTTTAAAATAATTTTCTTGCTTATTAAATTTTCAATGCCAGAAAAAATCACTTTTATTAGTGCAGAAAGGTCAAATAATTGATTATACAAAGCAATTTGAAACTTTTTCTTCGTCACAATTTTTAAGTGTCTTTTTTTAAACAAACTTTTTAAACAAACTTAGAGTTCATTTTGTTTCATGCTTTAATTAGATAACAAGAGGCCCATGGGCCATATCGCTCACCTGAGTAACTTTTGTGATGCAGTTTTTTACCAGATTTCCCCTCTTCTTATATCTATTGTGGCCCCTTACCCCCCCCCCAACTCCCCCACCCCCCCTCCCCGTCTTGATTTTAATAATTTAGATTCTACACTACCCCAGGATGCTTCCACCTAAGTTTCTGCTTTCCTGGCCCACTGGTTCTTGAGAAGAAGATTATTTAAAAGTTTCTTCCTATATATTTCTATGTAAAACTTGGATTTCCTATTGTGGCCCAGCCCTACCCCGGGGGTCAGGATTTTTACAATTAAGATTCTACACTACCCCAAGATGCTTTCACATAAGTTTCAGCTTTTCTGGCCCAATGGTTCTTGAGAAGAAGATTTTTAAAGATTTTTCTTATATATTTCTATGTAAAAATTGGATTTCCTACTGTGGCCCCGCCCTACCCCCCGGGCGTCATGATTTTTACAATTTAGATTTTTCACTAACCTAGGATACTTCCACATTATTTTCAGCTTTACTGGCCCACTGGTTCTTGAGAAGAAGATTTTTAAAGTTTTTTCTATATATTTCTATGTAAACTTGGATTTCCTATTGTGGCCCCGCCCTACCCCCAGGGGTCATGATTTTAACAATTTATAATCTATACTACCCCAGGATGCTTCCACATAAGTTTCAGCTTTCCTGGCCCAGTGGTTCTTGAGAAGAAGATTTTTTAACGATCCCACCCTATTTTTGTCTTTTCTTGATTATCTCTCCTTGGAAGAGGACCTGGCCCTTTATTTTAAAAATTTAAACTCCCCATCCCCCAAGGATGCTTTGCGCCAAGTTTGGTTAAAATTGGCCCAATGGTTCTTGAAAAGAAGTTGAAAATGTGAAAAGTTTACAAACGGACGGACGGACAGACGGATGGACTAAGGACAAAATGTGATCAGAAAAGCTCACTTGAGCCTTCGGTGCAGGTGAGCTAAAAATATTGGAGGGAAAACGTCAAAAATTTAATTTTTAATTAAGACACAAATTTCAGTGCAAAAAGGTCATATTAAATGTACTGTAGCGCCAAAAGAAGCCTATTGACACCCATTTTTTGATTTGAATTTAAATTAAGCTATGTATGTAGAAACTAAAAATATACTTGGCAAAAAAAGTTTAAGACTTTAATTATCAGGATCAAACGTCGTTAAGGGACCACCTGTCATATGTGACCTTTTTTCCTTTCTCCGTTGGAAGGTCTCTTAGTACAGGTTTGACTGTATACTTATTTAGTTTATTTAATACCCAGGAGCAGAGGAGAAGATTTTCAAAGAAATAATGCATTTTCACTATATAATCTATATAGCCCAGCCCTTGTACTAGAACCCCTGACCCTGAGGCTATGAATTTCATAATTTTGGTAGAGGACTAAATGTTGATTACAATCATGCCAACAGTTTCACTGCTTGATGTCCAGGAGTAAAGAAGAAGATTTTTAAAGATTGCATTAATTTTAGTGGTTTTGGCCCAACCTCTCAGGCCCCAAGGGGGCAGAGACCATGAAATTCACAATTTTTGTTCCCCTTCACCCATAGATACTTTGTGCCAAAATTGGTTAAAATTGGTTGAGCAGTTCCAGAGAAGAAGCTGAAAATGTTAATAACACACGACTGACGATGGACGACGGACGAAAACGGATAGCAATAACAAGAGGCCCATGGGCCACATCACTCACCTGAGAAGCTTTGACCATTCTGTTCTTCACCAGATTTCCCCCTTGCTATACATAATGCATCCCCATCCTACCCCACTGATCATAATTTAGACATTTTGAAATCTACACTACCCCATGATCCTTCCATGGGCACATATGTTTCAGCTTTTTTGGCCCAGTGGTTCCTGAGAAGAAGATTTGCAAAGATTTTTCCTATATATTTTTATGTAAAACTTTGATTCCCTATAATGGCCCACCCTTCCCCCGGGGGTCATGATTCCTACAATTTAGAATTTACACTAGCCCAGAATGCTTCCACATAAGCTTCACTTTTCCTGGCCCAGTGGTTCTTGAGAAGAAGATTTTTCCTATATATTTCTATATAAAACTTTGATTCCCCATTGTGGCCCCGCCCTTCCCCCGAGGGTCATGATTTGAACAATTTATAAACTACATTATACCAGGATGCTTCCACATAAGTTTCAGCTTTTCTGGCCCAGTGGTTCTTGAGAAGAAGATTTTCAAAGATTTTTCCTATATATTTCTATGTAAAACTTTGATACCCCATTGTGGCCCCGCCCTTTCCCCGGGGGTCATGATGTGAACAATTTAGAATCTACACTATACCAGGATGCTTCCACATAAGTTTCAGCTTTTCTGGCCCAGTGGTTCTTGAGAAGAAGATTTTCAAAGATTTTTACTATATATTTCTATATAAAACTTTGATTCCCCATTGTGGCCCTGCCCTTCCCCCGAGGGTCATTATTTGAACAATTTAGAATCTACATTATACCAGGATGCTTCCACGTAAGTTTCAGCTTTTCTGGCCCAGTGGTTCTTGAGAAGAAGATTTTCAAAGATTTTTACTATATATTTCTATATAAAACTTTGATTCCCCATTGTGGCCCTGCCCTTCCCCCGGGGGTCATTATTTGAACAATTTTGAATCAACATTATACCAGGATGCTTCCACATAAGTTTCAGCTTTTCTAGCCCAGTGGTTCTTGAGAAGAAGATTTTCAAAGATTTTTACTATATATTTCTATATAAAACTTTGATTCCCCATTGTGGCCCTGCCCTTCCCCCAGGGGTCATTATTTGAACAATTTTGAATCAACATTATACCAGGATGCTTCCACATAAGTTTCAGCTTTTCTGGCCCAGTGGTTCTTGAGAAGAAGATTTTCAAAGATTTTTCCTATATATTTCTATATAAAACTTTGATTCCCCATTGTGGCCCCGCCCTTCCCCCGGGGGTCATTATTTGAACAATTTAGAATCTACATTATACCAGGATGCTTCCACATAAGTTTCAGCTTTACTGGCCCAGTGGTTCTTGAGAAGAAGATTTTTTAATGACCCAACCCTATTTTTGTCTTTTCTTGATTATCTCCCCTTGCGAGGGGATATGTCCCTTCATTTTGACAATTTAAATTCCCCTTCACCCAAGGATGCTTTGTACCAAGTTTGGTCAAAATTGGCCCAGTGGTTGTTGAGAAGAAGTCGAAAATGTGAAAAGTTTACAGACGGATAGACAGACGGACGGACAGACAGACAGACGGACGGACGACGGACAAAATGTGATCAGAAAAGCTCACTTGAGCCTTCGGCTCAGGTGAGCTAAAAACCTGTAGAATGCAGAAAAATATTTTGATTATAGTGATAACTAGAAGCATTTGGAGGGCACATGCACCTTCATTTGGGTAATACTGTGAAATCACAAATTTTCGTTGGGGTCTAATTTTCGTTGTTTTCGAGGTATGAAGAGACCCACAAATTTATGTCCACCACGAAATGTAAGATGTGACATTTATAACTTCTCAACAATTCTACATCCACGAAATCAAATCCCCACGAACCAAGAGTTTTTCCTCAAACCACGAAAATTTTACCCCAGGAAAATATGTGATTTTACAGTAATATATGTACAAGTTATCAGACTAATCCTTGCAATAATTTCTGAGAAGTGGTCTGGACAGACAAATGGGCAGACAGACAGACATTTCGATTCCAATATACCTGCCCCATGCTTGGTCTGCAGGGGGTATTAAAAGTTTACAGACAGACAACAGGTGAACAGACAAGAGGCCCACAGGCCTTATAGGTCACCTGAGCATTATGTAACAACTTTTCAACAATTGAATTGGTTGGTGTTTTAAATCAAAGGACATGAAATTCAAAATTTTGAAAGAGGCACCATTGCTGATCATAAATATACACTTAGCTTGCTTACTTTGGTTACTTAATACCCAGATATAGATCATTGTAACAAACAGAAAATAGTCATTTCCACTTTAATACCAGTTGTGCACCCCACCCCACAAGAACCAGACCCTGGGGGTATATATTTTAAAATTCTGGAAATTTTATCATAAATTTTATTCATCATAAAAATGAAATCATAATTAATTAATACCAACAAGAAATCTGTGAGCCAATGCTCATTACAGCTAATAATACCACTGCTCTGATGTAAAAAGCACTATCATGTTAATATATACAAGTTCAATTACAGGCAAATGCACAGAAAAATATGAAGTTGACATCAGATTCATATCAAAATTATTCCCACCATATGGCATGCCTCAAGTCAACAAAGAATGTACTGAAATTTCAAGCATCTGCTATGAATAGCTAATGAGAAAACTGCAACGAAGATATGCTACATATGAAACTGACAAACACACAGACAAACAGGAAGTTGACATCAGATTTTTACAAAAATGTATCCCACATATGGCATGCCTCAGGGAAGATTGTGTTAAAATTTCAAGCATATGCAATTAGTAGTTGCTGAGAAAGCTGCAATGAAAATGTTATGTATGAAATGGACAGATGCACGGACAAACAGGAATTTGTTATCTGATTTTAATAAAAATGTATCCCTCCATATGGCATGCCTCTGAGAAAATTGTGTTAAATTTCAAGCATCTGCGATGAGTAGTTGCTCACAAAACTGTGACAAAAATTTATGCATGAAAGAGACAGATGCACAGACAAACAAGAAGTTGACATCAAATTTAAACAAAATGTATCCCACTGTATGGCAGGTCTCAGAAAAGATTGTGTTAAAATTTCAAGCATCTATGATGAGTAATTGATGAGAAAACTGTGACAAAAATTTGTTAAGGACAGACACACAAGGGTAAAACAGTATACCCCCCTCTCCTTTGGAGCGGTGGTATAAAAAGCAGATTTCAAATCTGGAAGAAGCATCCTTCCTCTTCATAACTATGTACATAGTTCCTTGGTTTAATACTCAGGAGCAGAGGATTTTTGAAGAATTAAAGCATTAATATAGTTTCACTATATAATCAAAAGAGCCCCACCCTAACACCAGATCCCTGAAGCCATGAAATTCACAATTTTGGAAGAGGCACTCTCATTCAACATAACTATACAGTAAAACTTGGTTATAAAGAAGTCACTGGGACCTATGAAATTACTTCACTTTATCTGTAATTCGTATTATCCATATATGGAATTCGTTTAATTTATATTGCTGGCAATCCAAGATGACTCTACAATATCTGTGAATTCACAATATCCGTGTTCATACTAAACGAGTTTTACTGTATACTTGTTTAGTTTATTTAATACCCAGGAGTAGAGAAGAAGATTTTAAAAGAATCAATAGGGCCCAACCCTAACCCCAGAACCCCCAACCCAGGGTCCATGAAATTCACAATTTTGGAAGAGACATTTTTCCTCATCATAACTATTTCCTTGGTTTGTTTACTTAATACCCAGGAGCAGAGAAGAGGTTTTTCAAAGAATTTATGCATTTTTCACTATATTATTGATACAGCCTAGCCCTAACACCAGAACCCCTGACCATGAAATTCACACATCACTAATAATGTATTTGGTTTGTTTGTTAAATACCCAGAAGCAAAGAAGAGGATTTTCAAAGAAATAATGCGTTTTCACTATATAATCTATATAGCCCCACCCTAGCACCTAAGAACCCTTGACCCTGGGGACATAAAATTAAAAATTTTGGAAGAGGCAGCCTTATTTTACACATCTATGTACTTATTTAGTTTATTTAATGCCCAGGAGCAGAGAAGAAGATTTTATAAGAAATAATGCATTTTCACTATATGATCTTTTAACCCTGCCCTAGCACTAGAACCCTTATTCCTGGGCCATGAATTTCATCATTTTGGTAGAGGACTCAATGCTGATTACAATCATGCAAACAGTTTGTCTGCTTGATGTCTAGGAGTAAAGAAGATGATTTTTAAAGATTGTATTAATTTTATTGGCTTTGGCACCACCCCTCAGGCCCCGGGGGGGGGGGGGGGGGGGGGGGGGGACTATTAAATTCACAATTTTTGTTCCCCTTCACCCATCGATGCTTTATGCCAAATTTGATTGAAATTGGTTGAGTGGTTGCAGAAAAGAAGCTGAAAATGTTCAAATGTTAATGCATGACTCATGACGACAGACAAAAATGGATAGCAATAAGGCACCTGATTTTACTCAGGTTATCTAAAAACTCACTTGAGCTTTCAGCTCAGGTGAGCTTAAAAGTGTGACATTGTGATAAAAAGGAGTCTTGATTTGGAATGAAAAAAAATACCTCAGGTTTTCTCCACCTTCAGTGCATTCATGTTGCAATCCACGTGATAATGATTCCACAAAAGATTTAAGATGTGCTTGCTCCAATGCTCTCCAGATAGTTGCATCTGAATAAGTGTCAAAAGGGTCCAGATTCACTCGCAGAGTCCCAGAAAACAGAATAGGTTCCTTTAAAGATTGATCAAAAAAATTTTTTAAGATTTTAATCCTCTTTCTTTTCATATCTAGAAGTTATACCCTAACTTTTACAAGAGGCCCAAGGGCCACATTGTTCACCTGAGCTAGGGAAAAGCACAAATCAGATCCGAATTGAAAAGTTAACTGAGGGGGTGGGGTGGGGTTGGAGGAGGGGGCTTGAATTCTAATACTACTTGCCTCCATATCAATACTGCACATATCTTT